GGCCCCTCCCCCCACCAGCCAACCTCCTGCGGCCCGATCACCAGCCAGGCCTCACCAGCCAGGCCGAGGGACCCCACCCATGCACGAATTCGTGCACTGGGCCTCTAGTGTGGAATAATATAAAATGTTACATTTTGAGTGACTTTCTAATGCCTTGTTTAGTTCAGATAAAATCACGAGGAGGTGCGAAGCCCTGAGAGAAAGCAATGTCATTCCATTTGTTTTTCTTAGCATGGCAATACTAACATATACTCTTCAAATGAAATAATAGTATTCTGGGGAAGTTAATTATATCTTTTTAAATTCCATTATATAAAGTAACTCTTAATCATGAAATTCTTTAAACACAACCTGGATCTTTTGGGTTGCCTTTCATTTGACTTGTTTTCATTTTTAGTAGGGTAAAAAGGGCCACATAATTATGAAAGCCATTTTTTTTTATAATGAAGTACGGACAACTAGTTTTTTGATCATCTTCTATTGTAGTGTTCTCAACCCTAGCTGCACATTACATCATCTGGAGAATTTTTTATAGAACTTCTGTGCTCTAGCTCAAATTTCTGATTCCTTTTTTTCAAGGTGGGGCATGGTGTGTGTGTGTGTGTGTGTGTGTGTGTGTGTGTGTGTGTGTTTAACTACCTATGAGATTGTAATGTGCAGCCAGATTGAGAATTACTGTTCTGGACCTTTAAGTCATTAATAGCTAACCACATGATACTATGATCTGTAAAATGATTTTTTAAATGTAAGTTTAGGTAGATGTAGTAGGTTTTGACTAGAGTGTCTGTCAGTCTCAGAGATTCCTCCATCTCTGAATTTTTGGGATTTGAATCCATATACCTCAGGAGATGTCGCATTTATTAGCCACCTTGATTGAGACATTTAACAAGGCAACATCTTTGTTATGAAGTAGTTGCAATCTGGTGGCGTTGGATGGGATATCTGAGTTAAAAGGTGGCTTCACTTAGGAGAATGATGGTCTCATCATTCTGCAGTGAAGAATTTCCATAAAACAATCCTGTGAGACTGGTTTTATTCCATCTGGACAATTCAGAACACTGAGGATTAAAGAGGATACATAATTAGGAGGTGGCAGAGCCAGGATTAGCAAGCAGTCTATTTGTCTCTTAAACACATTCTTTTTCCATTTGATCACACTTTCTATGGTCTTGGTTGCTTGTGCTATGAATGCGCAGAATAAGATGGAATAAGGATGAGAGAGCTCATGGGCAGCTCAGACTGCCACGGTGAATACCTGTGTGTGTGAACACATTTGGACTAATTTGAATGAATGATCATTATTGATACATAACATGTATGTCCTTAATATTCACAGCTATAAAGGTTCTCTATTCTTTTCATGTAAAAGTTACATTGTGGTCATCTAACACAAGTAAAAGGGGTTTTTATAATTCTTTTAAAACAAGAACTATTGGAATAGCCTACTACAGTCATATTTGCTGACTGTGTTAAATGTAATTTATTAAGAATTCTGTAAAACTTGTCATCTGATAATGATTTCAAGTGAGGTACCTTCTGATGGTCAATTTCTGTTAACTGAATGCCTTTCATCAGAACTTTCTATGTCAGCACAAGACTGTAAACTTAATAAACATGGGAAATTATCCACCTCCAAATTACAGCAAAGATAATTACAAAAGCAATTTCCATTTATTGACTTTCTGTTATATGACAAGATACTGCAGATATATTCTTTCTAATCCTCATGAGTTAAGTGGGATTCTTATTTTTCAGTAGAGAAAACTACACTTAGCTAAAAGACAAAAGAAACGTTCCCCGAACTTCAGTGATACTAAAGTGGTGGAGCTAAGATTGAAACCCACGTTTTCTGACTCTAAAACCCATGCTTTTAGCTGTCTTGCTAGGGAGACTGTTACTCTGTTAGCAGTGTTTTTTTAAAAATACATGCTTAGCTTTGTTATATTTAGTTACATTTTACTAAACTTCTTCAAAGTGATTGTTCCAAATTAGTTATTCTTATGTCTTAAAGATCCAGTTACCATATGAATTCCCCCCTTTTTAGCTGCTTCTTTGGGGATTTTAAGAAACATTTTATGCATGTATGAACATCTATGAAATGCAATATGCATACAGAAATGTGGTATTAGCAGTTTGCTCCTGAAAGAAGTACTATAAACAAGCATCCATCTAACCACCACCAAGGCCAAGAAATGGAATGATGCTAGGACCACAGAATTCGCCTTCTTTCTTTACAATTATTATCCATTTCTCCCAGAATGAAAATAATTTCCTTGTTATGTTTTTTATTTTACTATCTAAGTATTTATTCATAAATTAGTTTTGCCTGTTTTTAAGCTTTATGTAAATGGATTAATACACTATATATTCTTGCATCTGGCTTTAATTGCTCAACATATTCAGTAATGTCATTTCCTGCATAGCCATCTTGCACATCTTTTGTTAGATTTTTTCCATGTACTTGTTATATTTTGATGTCACCAAAATTGCATACTTTTCAACATTTTATTTCTTAAAAAGTGCCAATTTATTAAATTTATTTTTGAGCTTTGTAATATTCAGCAATCTTGCTAAAAAATTTAAAAGTATAGTAATAGTGAATTCTTTGATTTTTCTATAAATTTAATCTCCTCATCTGTAAACGATATTGTCTTCCTTTTTTTTTTTAAATGTATTTTATTGATTTTTTTACAGAGATGAATAGAGAGAAACATCGATGAGATAGAAACATCGATCAGCTGCCTCCTGCCCACCCCCTACTGGGGATGTGCCTGCAACCAAGGTACATGCCCTTGACTGGAATTGAACCTGGGACCCTTCAGTCCGCAGGCCGACGCTTTATCCACTGAGCCAAACCAGTTAGGGCTTGTCTTCCTTTTTAATCTTTCTATTTTTTCTTACCTTACTGTCATGGCCAAGAGCTCTAGTGCAAATGTTGAATAGAAGAGATGACAGTGGCCCTAGCTGGTTTGGCTCAGTGGATAGAGCGTCAGTCTGCGGACTGAAGGGTCCCAGGTTCGATTCTGGTCAAGGGCACATCCTGGGTTACAGGCTCGATCCCCAGTAGGGGGTGTGCAGGAGGCAGCCAATCAATGATTCTCTCTCATCATTGATGTTTCTATCTCTTTCTCCCTCTCCCTTCCTCTCTAAAATCAATAAAATATATTTTTTTAAAAAGAAGAGATGACAGTGGACACCCTGTCTCATTCTCTTTTGTAAAAGAGAGTGTTTTTGATGCTTTACCATTTAGTATTATGTTTATAGGTTTTTGGTATATATCTTTTTTAGAATAGGAACTTCCCTTTTTTGCTAAGTTTTTTTTAATCAATAGATTTGGCTTTTTCTGTATCTATTGAGATGAAAATATGATTTTTCTTTTTTAATCTACTGATATGGTAAGTTATATTGATTGACTTTAACAAAAATTTAAACTAAGTGTGGATTGAGTTAAATTCAGTTCCATTAGGATGTATTGTCCTTTTTAAAATGTGGGTTTGATATGCTAACATTTTTATATTTTTGCATCTATGATTATGAATGAGATTGACGTACAGTTTTCAGTTCTAGTTGTGTTTTTGTATTTGCTTCAATCTAAACTCCAAGCTACAGAAAGTGCCCTTTGCTCCTGTTCTATGGCAGGGTTTGTATAATTTATCCTTAAATCTTTGTGTTAAGTGTTAATTGCTTCCTTAAATTTTTGGTCGAACTTGCTGGTGAAGCCATCTGGGCATGCAGTTAATTTTTTTTTTTTTACCATGGGAAGGTTTTTAATTATGATTCCATTTCTTAAAGCATCATTCAATTTTTATGTTTCTTGCGACTGTTTTGATAAGTTCTATTTTGTTGTGAATTTTTTTCAATTTGTTCACAATTTTAAACTTTGGAATAAAGTTGATTGAAATATACTCTTTAATTATCTTTATCTGCAATTATGTCTCTTTCTGTTTTATTCATTAGTCTTCATCAAAGATTTAGCATGTTTATTAATCTTATCAAATGGACAACTTATGCCCTTGTTGATCTTCACTATTTTATGCTTTTTAATTTCTGCTCTTATTAATATTTCCTTCCTTGTTCTTTCTTTGGGTTTCTTTTGTTCCTAATGTCCTAATGAGATACATATTTAGCTTTGTTATATTTAGTTGTTCTTATTTTCTAACATTTATTTCTTATTCTAAGTAGCTTTGGCTTCATCCTTACAAGTTTAGTATGTACTAAATTTGTTACTCAGCTGAAAATATTTTTAAATTTGTCTTTCTTCTTTGATCCATGAGTTACTTAGATATATTATTTCATTTTTAAATATATTGGGGTATATTTAGTTTTACAGGACAAAAATTTCTATATCCTTTAGTGTAGTCATGCTATAAATATATATTTTTTCACTTTTGATATTTGAAACTATCTTTCTCACCTTCATGCTTGATGGGAATGTTCAATGGTTATAGAATTCTAGGTTGGAACTATTCTATTCATGTAGTTTCTTTTAGCACTTTGAAGATTCTTTTGCCTTCTGAGTTTAGTAATTTCTTTTTTTGGAGGGCTGGGAGGAAGTCAACTGTCATCTAATTATTGCCCCTTTGAATGTAATTTGCCTTTTTCTTTGGCTACTTGTAAAATTTTACTTGCAGTTTTCTGCAGTTTTCACTATGATGTGGTTAAGCATAGATTCCTTTAGTTCATCCTTTTGGGGGTTATTAGGGTTTCTTGAATCTTAGAAAAATGTATTTAGTGAATTTTGGAAAACTCTCAACCATTGGGGGAAGTTATTTTAAATGATCTGGACCAATTACTGCATTTTTCATACAAGAAAACATAAAGACAAGTATAGTTAAGTTGCTTGAATTTAACGTTGTAATTAATTTGTTGTATTACAGTTATATCTGGTATGATTAAATGCATAAATCCTATCTATATGTCTGTCTATGCTACAGTATTGCCAAACAATGGGGTCTCACACTTTAAGAAAATGATCTGAGTTATCTCTTTTTGGAATTTAGGCTGTGGATGGAATGTCTTGCAAATGGAGTTGACTTCATATTAGAATTACCTGCAAACTCCACAAACAGTAAGTAAAGTTAATAGTGTACTAGGTTTTTATGGCTTCTTACTTATGCCAGTTGTTTTCCATTTTAACTTTACTAGGGACATACTTAAGTTTGTTAATGTTTTATTGTATTTTTTATATTTTAATTTATTATTTTTTATACTTCATTCCCCTTTATTTTTGCCATTATAATGACAATGGAGTATTACTCTTTTAGCAGAGGTGGAGATGCGGCTAGAAAAGCATCAGGTGACCAGAGTTCTCATCTTTTTCCAACCTTTGGGAACTTAGTTTATTTCTGGGAGCCTTCGGTTCCTTTTGTTTCCTTTTATTTATTTTTTGTGCTACTAAATTTTAATATTATTTTGCTTTTATATTAATTTTTTTAAATTACAGCTTACATTCAATATCACTTTGTTTTAGTTTCAGGTGTATGGTTCTTCACTTGTAAAAGGAGGGATTGGATTAGATGATTTTTATACTTGAGCCATCCATTTGTTAACAAAATTCTTTTCCTTGTGGGACTTATGTTATGAACTAAATGTTAGTGTCCCACCAAAATTCATGTTAAAACCCTAACTCCCAGTGTGATGGGATCAGGAGGTGGAGCCTTTGGGGGTGATTAAGTCATTAGGGCTTTGCTCTCATGAATGGGATGAGTGCTTCTATAAAAAAGACTCCAGAGGGCTCCCTTGCCTCCTTTTATTTTATTTTTTAATGTTTTTATTGATTTGGAAGAGAAGAGAGAGAGAGAGAGATGGATCTGCTGCCTCCTGCACTCTCCCTCCTGGGGAACTAGCCTGCAACCGGGGCATGTACCCTGATGGGGAATCTAACCTGCGACCTTTAGATGCATGGGATGAAGCTCAACCAACTGAGCCACATTGGCCAGGGCTCCCTTGCTTCCTCCAGCGGTTCTCAACCTGTGGGTTGCAACCCCTTTGGGGGGTCGAACGACCCTTTCACAGGGGTCGCCTAAATACATCCTGCATATCAGATATTTACATGACGATTCATAACAGTAGCAACATTACAGTTATGAAGTAGCAACGGAAATAATTTTATGGTTGGGGGTCACCACAACATGAGAAACTGTATTAAAGGGTTGCGACATTAGGAAGGTTGAGAACCACCGTTTTAGGCCAAGCGAGGTTACAGTGAAAAGGTGGTTGTCAGTGAGGATGCAGGCCCTCACTAGACACCAGAGCTGCCAGCAGCATGGTCTGGGACTTCCCAGCTTCCAAAATGGAGAGAAATAAATGTTAGTTGTCTATAAGCCATCCAGTTTCTGGTGTTTTGTTATAGCAAAATGGACAAAGATAACATCCAAGAGGCAATATTGCATACTCAGTTGGATAGCTGAGTATGTCTCAGTTTAGCCATTCAAGCTAAAGCTGGACATTTGGGACCCATCCGTGCATAGATAGTATTCAAAATCACGAGCTCAAATGAAGCCACCAAGGCAGGGTGTTGTAGAAGAGAAGAGGAGCCAGCTAAGCACTGAGCCCTGGGGCACCCTGCTGTTGATATTAAAGAGCATCGGTACCAATAAGAAAGGCTGAGCAGCTGTAGCCAGGAATATGGATTAAGAACTAAGAAACCCAAGTATCTTGGGAATCAAGGATGAAAAGTGTTTCAAGAAGAAAAAAGAGTGTTCCGTTGTATCAAATGAGGCTGATAGTGTGGGTAAGATAAGTACTCACAGTTTACTGTTGGCTGTAGCAATGTGGATGTCGTGGGAGACCTTGCCAAAAGCACTGGTTTGGTCAAGGGATGGTGGGAGGTGATCCGCTTTATTGGAGTTCATGAGCATGTGTGTGTGGGGCAGGGGAGGGAACTAGAGCTAGTATAGCAACTCTCTGAAGGAGATTTGCTGGAAATGGGAACAGAGAAATGGGGTTGTAACTGGAAGAGGACAGGTTCTCATTTTTGTTTTTTATTAAGGGAGAAATTGGGTAATTGTAATGATGTTTATATACTGATAAAAGTGGTCCAGTAGAGAAAGAAACATTTATAAGACAGGAAATAGTGGGAACAGTTACAGAACTGATGTTTTTCAGGAGGCAAGAAGGATCTGGTACATGAGTGGGTTGGCCTTCCCTGGGAGTTCAGTATATTCATAGGAGAAAAAGTACAGTTTGTGGGCACATTGGAAGCCATTAGCACTAATGTCAAATATGTTCCATTCTCTGCCTTCTGGACACATGGTCCCTTATAGCTTGGCGGGGTCATGTAACTGACTGTGGCTAGTGTTAAGCAATACCTGTCATTTCTGTGCTATAGCATTTAATTGTCAGCAGGAAAATCTTCAAAAGTTATTCTTCCCTGTGCCACAGTGACTGGTAATGTTCTAGAACAGTGGTTCTCAGCCTTCCTAATGCCGCGACCCTTTAATACAGTTCTTCATGTTGTGGTGACCCCCAACCATAAAATTATTTTCGTTGCTACTTCATAACTGTAATTTTGTTACTGTTATGAATCATCATGTAAATATCTGATATGCAGGATGTATTTTCATTGTTACAAATTGAACATAATGAAAGCATAGTGATTAATCACAAAAACAATATGTAATTATATATGTGTTTTCCGATGGTCTTAGGCGACCCCTGTGAAAGGGTCATTCGACCCCCCAAGGGGTCTCGACCCACAGGTTGAGAACCACTGCTCTAGAAACTGATTGCTCATCAGCCTACACCCCTGAGTAAGGAAACCATAGAGCAGATCCTCCAGCTGACCATTATAGGCATCTAGTGTCCTTTGTTGTTTTAGGCTATTGTTATAGCATTAGCTAGCCTATCCTGAGTGATATGGGAACAGATGTATATAGAAGGACAGATGTAATGGCAGGGGCTTATGGGATGTCTGTCAGGGTTGCAGGTAGTTTTTCAGTGAAATAGGAAGCTGGGAGTGAGGATGGGGGATGAGGCATTGGAGATTTGAAGAGAGAGCAAATGGGATGAAGTAGTCATTTGGGAAAATCGGAGAGTAACTGAATCAGCAAAATGTATCATGATTATCAGATAGCACGCAGGACCCCTTTGAGGTTGGTGGCCATGATCAAAGTGAGTGTCCGTGTGGGTATGTTTTTCTCCAGTAGCTGTTGTCTGAATGAGAATACACATGATGCAGACAAAGAACTGGATTTAAAGAGGGGCTGGGTTTTGCCAGAGGAGGATGACAAAGGGAGAAATTGGAAATGGAGTAAAAGATACATACAAGAGAGTATTTAGCATATTCTTTTAGGACTTTCAGCCTCAGGGCAGTTGACATTGAAGACAGAGGCATAGTAAAGTCAAACTCCTGTCACGTAGAGGGTGGTTTAAAGTTTACAAAGGCACTTAATTTTGCACATGGAAGAATATGAGAAAGGGCAGATGGTACATAAACGTGCCTCTTGTGTGCACGTTTATCCCTTGTGCCCCAGGAAATTACTGCCATGGTGGGCGATGGCTCTCCCTTTCCTTCCTCCCTTCCTCCCTTCCTCCCTTCCTTCGTCCTTCCTTCCTTCCTTCCTTTCTTTTCTCTCTCTCTCTCTCTCTCTCTCTCTCTCTCTCTCTCTCTCTCTCCCTTCTTCTTACATGTACCCATCATCTGTGGTTTAAGCTTAACCATGATTTGCCTTGTCCTTCTTTTATCTTTGCTTCTTTTTCCTTTGTTTCATGGTGAGGTTTGCCTCTCTCTTGGGAAGTTGGGGAGGGAAGAGAGAATGGGAGAATGGGTGGGGTGGGATACCACAATTCAGAATCAGACCCAGGGGTTGGATCAAATCACCTCCCTTTAGAAGTATGTAATTCCCCTAGATAACCTGTGAATTCTCCAAGTTATAACTGATGAAATTGAAGCCTGGAGTTACTTGTATTATTTAAACAATAAGGGGCAATTCTTATAATCATCACACACCCTGCTCTTTTTCTGACATTTTTCCCTTCTGTATAGGAAGTGTTGGCTAATAATGGTAGGCATCGTCCCCAATTCTTCCAGTCGGTTTTAGGTGCACATTGTGCCTCTTCCAGACCACTTAGGTCTAAATAATGTCCCCAAGGACATAAATCAAAGCTTCCATTCTTTCTTTGCAGTTTCTAGGTGACATGCTGATTCTAATTCTGGAACGGCTTATAAGGATGCCCTGTATTGGTGTCAGGTCACTAGAAAGCTGAGCGTCCAGATAGTTAAATGTGTCTCTTTCTTTAGATAGGAACAGGAAAGGGCTGGTTTGAGGAGGTTCTGCTATCTGCTTTGGTACTGAGCTTGAACCCTGGACTGAGGATCCCAGGTGACCATTATCATCATTACGTGCCCCCTACCCCCTGATTTTTGGGGAGGAAGCTCACCAGGAGGCCTTTGTGCAATACCAGAGAGAAACAATATGAGTTGGTCATGCAGATGGTGTCATGGATGGCGTCAGGAACCTGGTATTGCCCATGAGGTGGGAAGGGACAGATCTTGCCACTGGGGGAAGTTATCTCTGGCCTCCAGGAGTCCCTAGTACTCTTGTCAGCACTTTCTTCTTGGTGTCACTACCATCTTTGATACTGCTTATTAAGAAAATGAACATCTTGCCCTAACCGGTTTGGCTCAGTAGATGGAGCGTCGGCCTGCGGACTGAAGGGTCCCAGGTTCGATTCCGGTCAAGGGCATGTACCTTGGTTGCGGGCACATCCCCAGTAGGGTGTGTGCAGGAGGCAGCTGATCGATGTTTCTCTCTCATCGATGTTTCTAACTCTCTATCCCTCTCCCTTCCTCTCTGTAAAAAAATCAATAAAATATATTTTTTTAAAAAGAAAATGAACATCTTTGAGAAAGTGAGACCTTCAAACCACGTAAAGGGTCATTTATCAGCAGCTCCCATGGCTAGATTTGGGGACGATGGGTGATGAAGACTGATAGGGCCAGGCCTTGCATAATTCATACTTTAAGTTCCTGTCTGCTTGATGGTATGTGAATTTGGGGACTTTGGAGAATTTTCTGATTTCAGCTTGGGACCACAAATTATTGCTTGAGCCATAACCTTTTACACT